TCTCTTCGCCTCTCCCCCACTCCCCTCCGCCCCCTCCAGTTCCTCGGCCCAGGGTGCGGGTGAATGGACCGGAGTCCAATCACCCTAAGGGCTGCTGCCAGCCTGTCCAAGACGGCTCGACACCGTCCGGCAGGCACCGATGCGGGCCCCCGAGGGGCCCTCGCCTCGAAAGTATTTAAAGAGGGGTCCGGGGCGGCTACTCCCTTCTTCCTCTGCTGTGAGCGGGGGGGTGTTGGGCATCTCCCCTTGCGGCTTGACCCCACATTGCCCCCCGCCCCCTGGTGGATCCTTTGCCGCTCCAGGGGCCAACAGCTGCCGGCCCCGGGCGAGTCCCCCTTGCGCCACAGGAGGCGAACCACCGAGCAAGGAGTTGGCTGTGCTGGGCACTGCACAGCCAACATCATCAACATCACAGCCGATATGTTAGTGAACTAACATCTATGTCTCCCAGGGAAGATATTTGACAAATGGAGGTAAAATTATTAGCGTTAGCGTACTGGGACAAAGAGAGTGAGGGAAGGGAAGTGAGGGAAGGGAAGTGAGGGAAGGGAAGTGAGGGAAGGGAAGTGAGGGAAGGGAAGTGAGGGAAGGGAAGTAAGGGTAAGGCCCACCTTCTTGCACATGTCGCGGCCCCGCTTGCTCATATGCACGACGTCGTGGGCAGCAAACATCCTGGCGCGGTGAGTGGCCTCACGACACCGACAGCAGAGGGCCTGACCTGCACGACCCCAGGGGCACGACACGGTCAGGGTACGGTATAGGCACGGTCAGAGTCCGCTCAGGGCACGGTATAGGCACGGTCAGAGTCCGCTCAGAGCACGGTATAGGTACGGTATAGGCACGGCCAGGGAACGGTCAGGGCACGGTATGGGTACGGTCAGGTTACGGTAGAGAGAGGGTCACGACATAGTTAAGGCATGAGGTTACGAAACGCACGGTCAAAGCACGGTAGCAACAACTGGCCTAACAACAACTGGCCTAACAACAATTGGCCTAGCAACAACTGGCCTAGCAACAACTGGTCTAGCAACAACTGGTCTAGCAACAACTGGTCTAACAACAACTGGCCTAGCAACAACTGGTCTAGCAACAACTGGCCTAGCAACAACTGGCCTAACAACAACTGGCCTAACAACAATTGGCCTAGCAACAACTGGCCTAGCAACAACTGGTCTAGCAACAACTGGTCTAGCAACAACTGGTCTAACAACAACTGGCCTAGCAACAACTGGNAGAAGTAGTCTGCAGTGTTGCCGTTGTTGCACTAAACGCAACACCAGCAGCAACGCACCACAGGTGTTGCAGAAGTAGTCTGCAGTGTTGCCGTTGTTGCACTAAACGCAACACCAGCAGCAACGCACCACAGGTGTTGCAGAAGTAGTCTGCAGTGTTGCCGTTGTTGCACTAAACGCAACACCAGCAGCAACGCACCACAGGTGTTGCAGAAGTAGTCTGCAGTGTTGCCGTTGTTGCACTAAACGCAACACCAGCAGCAACGCACCACAGGTGTTGCAGAAGTAGTCTGCAGTGTTGCCGTTGTTGCACTAAACTCAACACCTGCAGCTACGCACCACAGGTGTTGCAGAAGTAGTCTGCAGTGTTGCACTAAACTCAACACCTGCAGCAACGCACCACAGGTGTTGCAGAAGTAGTCTGCAGTGTTGCACTACACACAACACCTGCAGCAACGCACCACAGGTGTTGCAGAAGTAGTCTGCAGTGTTGCACTAAACGCAACACCTGCAGCAACGCACCACAGGTGTTGCAGAAGTAGTCTGCAGTGTTGCCGTTGTTGCAGTTGGCGCAGGGCGCGCGCTCCTCGCTCGTGGACTCCAGCAGGAAGACCATGAGGGCGTCGCGGGGGGGCAGCGCGCCATCCTTGGCAGGGGTCACCTTACTGCACATTATTAGTATTATTATTAGTAGTATTAGTAGTATTACTATTATAATTATTAGCAGTAATAGTACGTAGTATTAATAATATTACCTATTATTACTATTTTTATTCTTGTTATTATTATTATAGAAAGATAGTACGTACTAATATTATTAGTTATTATTATTTTAGGAAGTCAGACTTTAGTCAGACTAAAGACTAAAGGAAGTCGGAAGAGCAGGAGTCACTTCACTTCATTTTAGAGTTCTTAGGATTATATAATATTGGTGCTATTATAATTTATGAGGATATAATTATTATTGGAATTATTATAATGAGGTCACCATTATTAGCGGGAGTTACCATACTGTACGGGGGGCATTTAAGGTGTCTTAGGTTATTATAATATTATTATTAAAACGACACGCACCAACAGAGCGAACAATATATCATAGTTATAGTGGTAATAATGGTTAATAATAGTAATAATGGTTAGCAATATTATTATTCTACGAAGCAGTTATCGTTAATCGTTAGGTTAAAAATATTATTATTATTAATACGACACGCGCCAACAGAGCGGACAATATATCATATTTATAATGGTAACAATGGATAATAATGGTTATATATGGTTAGCAATATTACAATTATCATTATTATTCTACAAAGCACTTATTCTTAATCGTCAGTTAAATATAATGTAATTATTATTAATAAGATACGCACCAACAGAGCGGACAATATATCGTAGTTACAATGGTAACAATGGATAATTATGGTTGTAATTTTTAATATTATTATTATTATCATTATTATTCTACAAAGCGGTTATCGTTAATCGTAAGGTTAATATGATATAATTATTATTAATAAGACACGCACCAACAGAGCGGACAATATATCCTGTTGTCGACGACCCTGGGCGTGAGGCAGCGGCTGCAGAAGACGTGGTAGCAACACAGCAAACGTGGGTCATCGTAAAGTGAGTCACACAACCAACACATCAGCGGGTTACGGCTCCACTGTAACACAGCGTCCTCCCCGCCCTCCTGTAACACATCAGCGGGTTACACGCCACGGCACATGTATACACCTGATACCCACGCCACGGCACATGTATACACCTGATACCCACGCCACGGCACATGTATACACCTGATACCCACGCCACGGCACATGTATACACCTGATACCCACGCCACGGCACATGTATACACCTGATACCCACGCCACGGCACATGTATACACCTGATACCCACGCCACGGCACATGTATACACCTGATACCCACGCCACGGCACATGTATACACCTGATACCCACGCCACGGCACATGTATACACCTGATACCCACGCCACGGCACATGTATACACCTGATACCCACGCCACGGCACATGTATACACCTGATACCCACGCCACGGCACATGTATACACCTGATACCCACGCCACGGCACATGTATACACCTGATACCCACGCCACGGCACATGTATACACCTGATACCCACGCCACGGCACATGTATACACCTGATACCCACGCCACGGCACATGTATACACCTGATAATTCCCCAAATTGACCAGTATGTGCACGATGTCATGTACGTCAGATGCACAGTACAAGCATTGCCTCCAGCACTGTACGACGCACACACTTGACAGTGCATTTGGTGCTGTATATGCGTATATACCAAATGCACTGCACCTGGTACTGCACCTGGGCACCTGGTACTTCACCTGAGACTGCACTTGGTACTGCACCTGATACTGCACCTGGTACTGCACCTAGTATTGCATCTGATATGGCACCTAGTATTGCATCTGGTACTGCAACTGGGTACCTGGTACTGCACCTGGGTACCTGGTACTGCACCTGGGCGCCTGAAACTGCACCTAGTATGGCACTTAGTATTGCATCTGGTACTGCACCTGGGTACCTGGTACTGCACCTGGGCGCCTGAAAATGCACCTAGTATGGCACTTAGTATTGCATCTGGTACTGCACCTGGGTACCTGGTACTGCACCTGGGCGCCTGAAACTGCACCTAGTATGGCACTTGGTATTGCATCTGGTACTGCACCTGGGTACCTGGTACTGCACCTGGGCGCCTGAAACTGCACCTGGTATTGCATCTCGTACTGCACCTGGTACTGCACCTGGGCACCTGGTACTGCACCTGGGCACCTGGTACTGCACCTGGGCACCTGGTACTGCACCTGGTACTGCACTGGACGTCTGGGTGGAGATGCATGTGCTCTCCTCAGCGACGCGTACTCCTCAGCGCCCGCCGCCGTGACCGCCTGCTTTGACATCTTTGGGCCCGGGGGGAGGTGGCTGTGATGGTGGATATTGTGTTGCCTTTATGGGTCTAGGTGACACACTTATGGATGGATGACACACTTATGGATGGGAGAAACACTGATGGATGGGTGACACACTTATGGAAGGGTGACACACTTATGGAAGGGTGACACACTTATGGATGGGTGGGTGACGCACTTAAGGATGATATGAGTCGGTCGGCCGAGCCCTGTTAATGTTGGCCGAGTTTTCGACCTCCAATCAGGTTTGTATTAGTCGTGGATAGAAGGTAGAACTAAAGAACCTCTTTCACCACAGTTGAGATGAGCGATGCTATATAGGATCATTGATCTGATATCAAACCATTCAAATGATATTGAAGGATTTGAATAAGTGAGCTATATATGCTCAATGTGCGTCACATCCTTTAATGAGACGCAAAGGTGGAAACCAGGAACTTAAATCAACACAAGTAAATGAATAACCTGTGAATCTGTGAAATAAATTAATAATCTGTAAAGAGAGATTAATAATCTGTAATTCGAGAGTAATAACTCGAATTAAGTACATAATTCCATATATTAATTTAAAACTTTGAACTTCTCAATTTTTGAACTCCCTGAGGGTCATTAGTCCTGAGTGTCATAAGTCCTGAGGGTCATTAGCTCTGAGGGTCATAAGCCCTGAGGGTCATGAGCCCTGAGGGTCATAAGCCCTGAGGGTCATGAGCCCTGAATGTCATAAGCCCTGAGGGTCATTAGCTCTGAGGGTCATTAGCCCTGAGGGTCATTAGCCCTGAGTGTCATAAGCCCTGAGGGTCATTAGCTCTGAGGGTCATTAGCCCTGAGGGTCATAAGCCCTGAGGGTCATTAGCCCTGAGGGTCATAAGCCCTGAGGGTCATAAGCCCTGAGGGTCATAAGCCCTGAGGGTCATAAGCCCTGAGGGTNTGATAACAAGATATGACGTTGATAACAAGATATGGCGCTGATAACAAGATATGACGCTGATAACAAGATATGGCGCTGATAAGATAAAAGGCTGATAACAAGATATGAGGCTGATAACATGATAAAGATAGCTTTGATAACAATTTATGATGCTGATAACAAGATATAAAGCTGATAACAAGCTATGAGCGATAACAAGATATGACGCTGATAACAAGCTATGAGCGATAACAAGATATGACGCTGATAACAAGATATGAGCGATAACAAGATATAACGCGATAACAAGGACAGATCGATGTCGTGTTATCGCCGCCCGAGATCTGAGTAAGCATCACGGCAGCGCGACTTTAATCCAACATGGCGGCCGCACCAGCACTACAGTCACCTCTTGCACTCCAAAACACTGATTTATTACTAATATATTGGTAATAACTCCTTGCCAATTATCCATTCATTCAGCGAACTAAGTTTCCCTTCATATCCAAGACGATGAATTATGAAAATTGTTACATTATTGCAAATTATACCAATTTTCGTTAGAATATAGAGTGCGACTTATTTAAACTACAATTTTAAATTCAGCTCGAAATTTTAAGCATTAATTAGATCCAAGCTATACGGAATGTATATAAATCGCAAGCAGTCAAACACGATTAAACGAGAATCAAAGCACTTGAAGATCAGTAAGGAAGATTAGCTGAGTGTATTAATGAATTGCAATCTCGAACTGAAATAAATTTTGGGTAATCTTTGGGTATGGAATAATCCTGCCACTGCCGTGACTACAGCCACAGCGTCACCAATACATTTCGGTTCTCTTGTCCATCTGGCACTGCAGTTTGAATAACCTAACTTATCTTAATCAGTTCCGCCTTAGAGTCTTGTGTGCTATTAACTTGAATAAAATATTAAATTAAAATGTAAGTTCAACTAAAATGTGTATGTAAAGAATCAGCGGCAATTACACCTGCATAAGAAGAATTGGCTGCATCCACACGCGCCATAAAACACAACCACTCACCACGACAGCCAGCAGCTGACTGCCATCCTGCGGCCAGCGCCACTAATGGACTCGTCATCCTCGATGGAAGCGATGGAAGTGTCAAAACAAAACAGGCATCGGCGAAGTCTTCCTCGAACTATACAGGAAAAAGAGTATAATAGTTCACGCCACCGAAATCATTTTTGTTGTCGCTTGTCGAAACCTGGTCTCGGCTTATTGACTTCTTACATTTTTTTAAATAAATAAGTAATAACTTCAGAGCCAATTCGAGGGCACCGTTCGCATCTCGATTCGCATGGTTTTCAGTCACTCGTTCGTCTGCAAACGAAAAGCCTTTTATTGTTTATTGCATTAGCTTCGGCTGAACTGTAACCTAAGATACACGCATATAACTTCAGCTGAACTGTAACCTAAGATACACGCATATACAATAACTACCACACGGTATCAGTGATACCACCACGATATAATATGAATGCAGGCTTCATTCATGATGAATCAAGCGTCTTTGCTGCAATTTAGTGAACTGCCAAATCTATTATTCACTGATTCAAAATAGCGTATATACAATGCATGGAGTGAGTATATGAGTATATACAGCACATGGAGTGAGTATATGAGTATATACAGCACATGGAGTGAGTATATGAGTATATACAATATATGGAGTGAGTATATGAGTATATACAGTACATGGAGTGAGTATATGAGTATATACAGTACATAGAGTGGGTATATGAGTATATACAGTACATGGAGTGAGTATATGAGTATATACAATACATGGAGTGAGTGTATGAGTATATACAGTACATGGAGTGAGCATATGAGTATATACAGTATATGGAGTGAGTATATGAGTATACTGTGTATACTTCATATATACCGCATGGAAGGCCCAGGCTGCCGTGCACATGTGGGCCCCACTTCCTCCTGTGGTACTTAGGATATCCCCACACGTGTCGTGGACCACACAACAGACCACATTACAGCAACATTTGGCTGCCCACAGCGCCAGTTTTCACACGCGGCCCGCGCCCCACAAACCGCAGACCACAAACTGCGTCCGTAGCAGCGAGTCCCGCAGTATTTCTTACATCTTTCCTACATCCTACATGTAATTTATTATTCACAGTTTGGTTATTTCTTCGATAAATTTAAATATCAAAATGCATTAATCGCCAAATAAACTGAAACTCGGATCATTTGCTCCGTAGACTTTCTTTGGGAACGAATTTTTGCAAATTAAATTTTTACCATTAAATTTGTTATCAACGCTACATATCATGAAGACTACATTTATTTATTAGAACTTCATTTATTTGATTTAATGAACAGTTATTTGTTAGAATTATATTAAATTTATTTTTTGAATATATATATATGCAATATATGATATTATGGTAATAATTTATTGTGATTTGTCATCGAGCATTTATAGTAAATTGTATATTAGACGAGAACAGGCAGCTACAGGCGGGGGTGCAGGCGAGGGG